AAGAAACGGTACATTTTCTCGAGTATTTGTGTCCATCTAACTATGTTAATACTAGTGTTTAAAAGATGTTATAATATAAACCCGTGTAAAATTGACTCAAAGCTTGTGAAGTATGGTTTGAAAAGACTAGTAGGTGGTCGCTTAATTCCTTAACATCCTTCTCGTATGGTTGCGGACTCATTCTTCACACTTGACATATGTTCCTTGCAAAATTATAAAATGAACTTCTAGAAAGGTCAAACCTAAATTAAGCCGTCAAATATAATTATTAGGTAAACGATAAGATTTTTAAGTAATGTTTTTCAATTATTCTATTGGTTTGGCAATATGCATGACATATATATGTAATAAATTATTGTCGAAACTATTAACATCATAAATCTTTTTGGCCAAGCAATAAGAATTTCTTGGGGACAAAGATTTGGCGTTTTTCATTGACTTTGACATTTTCATTGCCTTATGAGCTGCTCATCCTTGTATCGAGGAAAATATATCTCATGCTAACAACAAATAATATTCCAACCATAGTTTATTGTTAATTTTGTGTGCTTAAAATGGCTAAAAAAATTGTAAAAAAAATTTTCGGGGGATACACTGTTTTCTTTTATTTTTAAAATGAAAATTACTCTTCCATGAAATATATATGGAGAGAAAGTGAGCAATAATTCTCTAACAACAATAAATCACCCAATCAAAATAATTATTTAAAAACATTAAATAAGATTTTGACACATCCTAAATCTTTAGCTGCGGAGTATAAATTTAATTATTTTTAACAATAATAATGAGTAAATTTTCAAATAATTTCAATATTCTATTTTATTATAAGTCAATTTATGAATACCTTAATTTGGTGCCCACCTAGCTAAAATACAATAATTGCTTTCATTACTCAATAATTGTTTTATTGAGTAGTAGATGTTGGTAGTTGTTATGATAGAAATATCCTAAAAGCAAACAATTAATCATCTATATACTCTCACCTTGCATTCAGGTATATGCCTGATGATCAAGAAGTGAAAGGATGGTTAATTCCTCTATATATCTCCCCCACCACCCCGAAGTTGTCGGGGGTTCAATCCTCTACACCCCCCCAATACCATAATAAGGAGGGTCCTCCGTATCTTACGCTTAAAAAAATCACGTATAAATCTAGTATAACCAATTAAAAATTTATATTTAATTTATTTTTTAACAACATTTTTGTATTCTAGAACTCGAAACCGAAACTTTTAATTGACCTAGCTAGAACTACTTGACTATTTTTCTTTTTTTAATTCTTTACCATCTTATCCAATATGCGTACGTGGTAGTTCATTTGGTCTCACACATACACATTGAACAACAATTGAGCATTACCTATTCCATGACTCGCAGGATATACTCATATACTATTATAGTAGGAGATCGAATGAAATATTCATTCATTGTCTTCAAAAAAAAAAAAAAAAAAAAATCATTGATTACAAATTTACAAGTGTTTGGCCAATTGGCATCACACGTGTGACATGGCCAACAGTTGTAGGTAAAGCTTAATGTTGCATCCATTTACAAGTTTCATGTAAATTTAATTTAGTGGCCAGCTCACCGTCCAATCCCATGCATCATGATTAACATATGTTGCGTTAGTTATTACGGATTTCTTTTGTTGTCCGTTCATCGAACCATCTTCTTGTACTACATACCTCTAGCTAAACAACCACCTATTTACACACATTATGTTCTATTGCTATACCTCTATGCCTCAAATCAGAATCCCGACTGTATATAAACATTAAATATATTTCGTGACATGGAATTAATTTCTCTATATTTATTTTCTGCCGAACTTAAAAGTTAACGTATCAAGTTACGGATTTGATTATTGCACCTATAATATTGTTGTGGCATACTTGTATTTAGTTAATTCTAGCTAAAAATGTGAAATACTTTTTTTTTTTTTTTTGAAAAGCAAAAATATTTCATTAATTAAAAGTCATACGACATCTACAATAAAGATTCGACGTTAACAAATACATAAGATACTGAATCAAATAGAATATTCCTTCATAAAAACTACGATCGTCGAGTAAATCTTGCACTGCGGAGCATCTCCCGCTTATATCGCTGAAAATTACAGCCTTGTTGGAGAGACAATCTAATGATCCTTTGTAGCCGTGAGGATGTTTTCCTTCTGATTCATCTGTTCGTATTCGAAAACTTGATAACTTTTTCACCAACGAAATAATTTCACGACAATCTATTAGATCTGCTACCAGAAAAACCCTTGTATTTCAAAGGAGATTGGAAACCCTTTCTTTCGAGGGAGAAAAATTCCTCCCAAAAGGAGGAAGTATTATTATAAACCTAAAAAACAATAAAGAAACAAGGATTGGGGCTTTTCACCGATTAAAATCGATGGAAGCCCCTTCAAATTTCAACTGGAGGCTAGGGTTTTTGAGAGAGAAAGGAGGAGAGAGAGAGAGAAAAAAAAAGTGAAATACTTGAACCCACGTGGAATACTCAAAAATCTCCTACTCACATGAATAATTTCACCTACTTGCCTTTAAATAGTCATATCAGTGATACTCATCAAGTAATGATTTTAATTACCTAGTTATGGGTGATTATTTTATAATAATAATAATAATAAAAACATTTCCATTATTATTTATGGATGATGAGATGAACATGGTTCAATAGCTCACATTCCACCTAACCACCCACATAATTGCACACCTAAGTTGTTTCATTGGCTTTATAGCTTTTGTTGAGCTCTGTTGGATATGCCCTGGCTATCTTACTTACTCAGTACTGTATTACATTACTACTTTTACAAGTTGCAACCACATTCATGTAATTTATTTAATTGCATATGTTTAAAATTATAGGCCTTTTTGTTGTAGATTGATGATGAGCAATTGACCACAAAATGATACAAATAACATTAACCATAATACAACTTATTTGCGCGTGAATAATATTCCACATTTATTTAGTTGTATGTTACTCCGTATTTAATTTATAACCTAATTGTTCTTTGTCAATAATACAAGTAATGAAAAAGAAAAGAAATGCTAAGATAATTTCATAAATGATAAATCATAGCAAGTGGCAGAAAAATAAAAGTAAAACGTTTGATAAATAACGTTCTACAAATGTTCTAGATGGATCACCAAAACAAAGAAAACCGAGTTCACACATAATGTGAATAGCCCCCTAATTAAATTATAAAATTAATGTATTAAATAAAATTAAATAAACCTTAATAGTTACACCTTACACTTTCAACTTCTAACCTAATCAATAATCATCCTCTCTTCCCCTCCCACCCAAATTGATTCTCATATCTCAACCCCACGTGTCACCGTATAAACGAAGCAATATGTTTTGGAGTTTGCATATGATCGTTGATTAAGACGTCTACTTCTAAAAGTAACTCTTGCAACTTGCCTTACACACTATTCAGAAAATTGTACTAGGATTTTTTTTTAAAAAAAAAAATTAATTAATACAATTAACTTCAATATCATATTATTTGTAAATATTGATTTAGGGTATGTTCTCTTCAGCTGATTTTCAGTTCAGTTTAATTAACCTCCAATAAATTCAGTTCAGTTTAATTCTTAATTTCCTTCTCTCATAAAATATTCAGTTCAATTTAGCTTCAATAAGTTCAGTTCAACTCAGTAAATCAAAATACGCCCTTAGACTCGAAAGATTCGACATTTTCAACAAAACATTCGGAGTAACAAATTAAACTTTATTCTTACAAAAATATTGAGTAATGTTATAAAAAATCCTAAAACATTAAGTATCAGTATGAGATAAAATCACTCGAAAAACAATGTAATTAATTAATATTTTATTAATAATTTCCGTCTTTTTTAAACATAATCCTTAAGGTTATGTGTAATATTTTTCTTAATGATTTTATTTTATATGTAAAAATTTATACTCCATAGTGAACAGAGTTCAACATGAGTTTAATGGGGTTGGACCCGTTGGAGACTTTTCTTTCCATAGTTTGTTTGATATGCCCTATCCAAAATTATTCGTTTTTGCTCCAATTAATTTATCTACCAAATATGTTTAGCTTATCCTATCCAAAACACACATATATAGATCATTAGGATGTAACTCATTTCAGATAACTTCCAATTACTATCAAAACTGTCTAATATCGCATATTTAATTTATTGGTGACAAAATAGGTTACTAGTCGATTTATTAATTGATCAAACACAATAAGACTAGTAGACTACATTTAGTAGGTCATTATCACTTAAAATTACATGTCCAATTAAGTGTTAGAGCTATTCCATAACAGCATAGGATGTCACACCCTAAGGGTGAGTCATATTCATCTAACTCTTACTTTATTTGAACTTATATTAAAATTTATTGTATTTATAATTTAAAACTTCATGATCCTATATAATCTCTATTAACACTTATTTTTTTCCTTAATTAAACATATAAAATAAGTAAAAATAAAATGAACAAATTCGTATCTTCTTTTTTAGGGAAACAAATCCGTACCCAAACACATGAGTACATAACACAACTTGAGTGTAGTACTCCGTAATTTTTAGTATTTTATTTTTACACAACAACAGTGTAGTAAATTGTTGGTACATTAGTAAAACTAGGAATTCATTGTATATTATTTCTTCCGTTCTATTAATATTGTAATAATGGACTTTTGCACTATTCATCATTCTTGTTTGACCATATACTATGATTTTTACATTAAGCAAATTATAATCATGTGAAGTTTTATTGAATTCGTATCATAAAATACTTTCATAATATTAACTTATATGATTTTTAATCTTACACAATTATAGATACTTAGCATATAACATGTGTTTCAAAATACATAATTTTACCCTTATTACAATATTAATAGAACGGAAAAAGTATGGATTTGTCATTCTAAATTCCACCTCCCTAGTTCCATAACCGCGTAATAATTCTAACAATTTCATCATAACTTGTTTAGAAATGGGAGTCTCGCGTCATTGATGCCGTCCTCACCTTTTTAATTTTCTCTCTCATCCACCAACCCTCTATAAAACCCCCACTTTACCCACTCAAATCCTTTCAAAAATTAATCTCTTTCTTCTCCCATTTTCTCTCTCCTAAAAAATACTGTAAAATGACCACAAAAATGCACCCAAATATCGGCGGCGCGTCTTTCTCACTCTCCTCTCAATCACCCAGTTTCACTTCTTACTCCTCCGAAAACATCGCTGATATTGCTGCTCGTGTTGTTAAGGAGCTCAATTTATCTCAAAACGACCCGTTTGATGATGATTATTACTCCTCCGTCACCTTCAACGACGCGTTTCATGATACCCCTCTAAACGACACCGTTCAACCCCAAAACGACGACAACAACAATGACGATGAAGTTGATGACGATGAGGAGAGTGAGTTCGAGTTTGCGATTCTGACAGGGGAAGAGAATTCATCCCCAATTTCAGCCGATCAGATCTTCGACAACGGTCAAATAAAGCCGATGTTTCCAGTATTCAACACCGATTTAGTTTACGGCGGAAGTAGTTGTGGTTTTTCGACTACAACTTTTCCTCCAACAACCATCCGCGTACCGCTGCGGAAGCTGTTGGAGGAGAGGGAAACGAGCGGGAATGGGGCCGTATCTTGTTCGTCATCGGAAGCGGATGATCTCGAAGGGGTCCCACCAGGTACGTACTGCGTGTGGACCCCGAAGAAGAAGGAAGAGGTGATGATGATGAAGAAGAAGAGTAAATCAACGGGGTCTTCTAAAAGGTGGAGGTTTAGAGATTTGTTACATAGGAGTAATAGTGATGGGAAGGATACTTTCGTCTTTTTGACACCCTCGAATAATCATAAAAGTATCGGTGTCGGTGTCGGCGGTGGTAGTGGTGGCGGAGATGGGAGGAGGAGGGAGAGAACGGTGACGGTTGGAGGGAGGAAAAAAAGTGGTGTGGAAGCGGGAAAGATGAAATCGTATTTACCGTACCGTCAAGATCTTGTTGGGTTTTTCGCTAATGTGAATGGGATTAGTCGGACGGTTCGACCTTTTTAAATTTTGTCCGGAATTAATAGTTACGTTGATGTACGGTGGTTAGTAACGGTAAATATTTGGGAGTTTTGGGGGTAGGCAAATTTTGGGATGACTTCAGTTGTTGTTGATGAGTATTGCTATATTTGAATGTAAATATTTAAGATCTTACTTGTTTTTATTGAAAGCCAAAAAAAATGAAAAAAGATTCATGGAAATGCAAAAATTGTTAATGTAATCTTCTTTCTACTCATGGTTTGATTTCGTTTATTTGATCCTAATAAGTAAATGTTTATGAAGTTTGAGCTCAACAGATTTTCGAACTTTATAACTACGTAATTCCGAGGTCTTACCACTTCCAATATTACCTTTGGCTCATGTCTAGCCAATCAAGCATATGTATGTTAAGATTGTTAACCTCCAATATTAAGGCGAACGATAACTAAATAACATTTAAATACGAGTCTCAAAATTTTTAAAATTATTTACGACTTTAGTGGCTAGTTTGTATCAAACAGTTCCATCAAATATCAAGTTCTAATACTTAACTTGCAAGTAGGGCCTCTTCTGATACGATTATTTTCAGTTCAATTCAGCTCTAAATAATAAGTTCAGTTCAGCTCTAATAAGTTCAGTTCAACTCAGCTCTAATAAGTTCAGTTCAACTCTAATAAGTTCAATTCATTTCAGCTCAGCTCTAATAAGTTCAGTTCAGTTCAGCTTCTAATTTTCTTCTCTTATAAAATATTCATTTTAGTTAAGTTCAGTTCCGCTCTAATAAGTTTAGTTCATTTCAGCTCAGTTAAGTCAATGAGAACATGCCCTTGGTATCAAGCATTATAAATTTTACCAAATATATTCAATTGAGCTAATTACAAAAAGTGAATCCAATTTTAATAACATCATTATCTCCAACTATTACCTAGAATATTGGGCATAAGATGTGATATTTAAACTAGTCCCCAGAGTGGAATTTTCTAAACCATGTTTTTAAAAAGTTATAGAAATAAAAGTAAAAAAATAGTAATTTTTAAGAATGTTCTCATCCATAAAAGTGGGTGAGATAAATTAAAAAAAGGGCTGCCTAATTACTAAATTAATTATCTCTAATAAATATTTAGCTGTCTTGATTTGGACTTTCCACTTCCCCTTTCCCTATTGATTAACCAGTTGATTTATAATAGCGAAAAGATGAAAAAGGTTTAATATTCCATTTATTATATGTAAATAATCTTCATCTTAGGATTAATTATGTATAATATGAGAATATACTTTGTACGAGTACATATTATATACTATCACATTTTTTACATTTAAAATTAACTCGAAAAATCTTTGCATTTGAATATTGTGCTTCAAAAACTTATACTTGTATACAATAGTTTTTGTACATAGCTATTATATACAATATACTCGTGTTACATTGTCGGTAAATTAACCTATTTGACACTTATATATTTAAATTAAATGGATTTCATAAATCTACAAGAATAAGTAAACTCTCGTAAATAAAAGTTTTTTCTCTCGCTCTGGAGTTAGGGTTCCCTAGTTCGGAGGTCAGAGTTGTTCTCTTGCGCGTTCAAGCGGTCTCTCCTTCTCCGGTAGGGGGGTTTCCATGGTGTTCTAATCAGGATGGCAGGAGAAATTCTTGAGCAGTGGTCAAAATTGAGTATTACAGATGAAGAGAATGAAATTGCAGAATTAGGTGTCTCGAATGTTGATGAACTTAGCAATAAACTAGCCCTATCCTTGGCGGGGAAATTACTGACTATTAGATCGTATAATTTCGAAGCGTTACAAAGAACCCTAAAGCAGACCTGGTCCTTGTCTCGGGGTGTTTTATTCCGTAAAATTGAGAACAATTTGTTTGTGATACAATTTTTCCATTGGCGTGATAAGGAGAAAGTCCTCGATGGTGCTCCATGGAATTTTGACAATCAATTGTTATTACTTAAAGAAATTGAGGGGATAAACAACCGGAGAACATTGACCTTAAATTTTGCCCGTTTTGGATTAGATTATACAATCTCCCTTTTGATAGCAGGTCCGATGATGATGTGAGAAAGATTGTCGAAAAGATTGGGGTTGTATTGGAGGTGGAGAAGGATGAATTGGGGTGGGACAAATCAAGAAGGGCTCGTGTGTTGATTGATACAACGAAGCCTATTCGCAGAATTCAGAAAATCCGCAACAAGAAAGGTGCTGTAACTTCGGTGCAATTCAAGTATGAGAGGTTGTCTACCTTCTGTTTCTTGTGTGGTATTCTGGGCCACACAGAAAAGGACTGTCCTAATGTTGATGAAGACGCTGATGTCGAGGAGAAGCAATGGGGGCTATGGTTGAGGGCGTCGCCTCGAAAGGGGCATGAGAAGTTAAAGGAGGAGGTTGATAACTTGCGAAAGAAATCACAATCCCTTGTGTTTACTCATAAGCCTGAATCACGGAAAGAGGAGGGGAATGAAACCGCTGCTCGTAGACTGCTCTTCTCACCTCATATGGATAAGTCTCCGAAAGAAAGAGTTGCCACATTACAATGTGTCATTGATCCCTTCAGTAACAAATTTGTGCTGCGTACTAGAAGTGTGAGGGAGGGTATGATAGGGGTGGAGAAGGTGGTTATGCCGACGATTGAGAAGGGGGTGGGAGGTTCTATAGAGTTAGAAATTGGGGCAAGTAATAATGTGAGGGAGGAGCATGAGAAAGTGGATGATGATACGGGTGCAGGGGTGATGCAGGGGGTGGGGGCAGAGGAGTTGGGAATGGGGGAAAATGCTACTGGGACTATTATAAAAGGTACAAAAAAATGGAAGAAATTAGTGATAATGGATGAGGGTATGGAGAAGGGAGTAGGGGGTCTGGTTTATGTAATGTGGGCAATGAGGGAGCAAAAAATAAGAAGAGGGGGATGGCAGAGGTGAGTGATGTAGGGGACATGGAAAAAAGACGAAAGTTGGTGCCTTTGAATTACACTGGGAACAGTAGCATCCAAGTAGAGGGTGATGGTAATGACCATACCCTCGAAGGCCAATGAAAATTTTAAGTTGGAACGTTTAAGGGGTTGGCAACCCTTGGACGGAAAGAACTCTTCGTGACCTATGTTGGAGAGAGAGGGCGAATGTGGTTTTTTTAATGGAAACGATGATTGATAGTGCCGTGTTGGAAAGGATTAAGAGAAGGTGTGGGTATGAGAATGGTATATGTGTTAGTAGCAATGGGAACTCAGGGGGTATGGGGTTTTGGTGGCATGAGGTGAATGTTAATGTTATTTCATATTCGGTGCATCATTTTGCGGCGGATATTTGTGATAGTTTGGGTGAACCAAAATGGAGAGCGATTGACTTTTATGGGTGGCCTGAGACGGAAAATAAGTATGAGACATGGGACCTAATGAGAAATCTGAAGAGTGAGTGCAATCTTCCTTGTGTTACGTTTGGAGATCTCAACGAGATTGTGAGTATGACAAAGAAGAGTGGTGGGGCTGTGAGGCATGAGTACTTGATGGATGCTTTTCGGGAAGCCATAGATGATTGTGGCTTACGTGACTTGGGATTTTCTGGGAGTATTTTTACGTGGCAAAGGGGGCAAACGGAGGATACTGTCATACGGGAAAGGCTGGATAGGTTTCTTGGTGATGTCCCTAGGTGTGAGTTATGGCCGAATGTTAAAGTCCAACATATTGCTCGAATGGACTCTGATCATGCTCCGATCCTTCTTAGTACAATTAATTATTATGAACGTGGCAGGAGGAAGAAATTGTATCGGTTCGAAGCTATGTGGATCTCAAAGCCGGATTGCAATGAGGCTGTTAGGAAGGCATGGGAGGAGGGGGCGGGGAACGCTCCTCACAACAGAATTGCTTTGTGTTCGAATGCTTTGACAAAGTGATCTGCCAAATCTTTTGGTGATATGAAGAAAAAAATCAGATCTCTTGAAATAGAACTCCAAGAAGGGCAGGGGGGTCATATGGATGCTGCAAGTTTGCAAAAGTGTGAGAAAATTTCAGGGGCGATTAATAAGCTTCGTTGTCAGGAGGAGATTTATTGGTATGCGCGGGCTCGTGCAAATGAATTGAAAGATGGGGATATAAATACGACATATTTTCATAGGAAGGCAAGTCAGAGAAGAAAAAAAAAACGAATTGATGGTTTGTTCAATTCGGCAGGGGAGTGGGTTGATGAGGAAAATCAATTGCAAAATGTGGTGGCCGAGTATTTTTTGAACCTATCCAGTCCGATAATCCTGTTGACTTTGAAGCAGCATTGGAAGGGATAGATACTATGGAGACGAGTGAAATGAATCAACAGCTAGCAGAAGAACCAAGCTATGAGAAGATTAAATTGGCTCTTTTTTAGATGCACCCGAATAAGGCTCCTGGTACAGACGGTATGCATGCTTTATTTTTTCAGAAATTTTGGCATATTGTTGGGTCTGATATTATTGCAATGGTGAAAAGTTGATGGAGGGGTTTGATTGATATTACTGAAATTAATAGGACATGTATTGTTTTAATTCCCAAATGTGATGAACCTAAATACATGTCGGAGTTCCGCCCAATTAGCTGCTGCAATGTAATATACAAAATAATATCAAAGACTTTGGCGAATAAACTGAAGCCATTCCTCAATGATATTATTTCTGTAAATCAGATCGTTTGATTACTGATAATGCTCTTATTGCTTTTGAGATTTTTCACTCTATAAAAAGAAGGGGTGAAGGGGGAGATGGTACGGTGGCTCTTAAACTTGATATGAGTAAGGCCTATGATCGTGTTGAATGGTGTTTTTTTGGAGAGAGTTATGCATAAGATGGGTTTCTGTAATGATTGGGTTCGCAGGGTGATGGCCTGTCTTTCAAGTGTCTCCTTTTCGTTCAAGGTTAATGGGGAAATTTCGGGTTCTGTTGTCCCTTCGAGAGGACTTCGGCAAGGGGATCCAATTTCTCCATATTTATTTCTTATGTGCGCTGATGCTTTTTCTGGTCTTATTTCGAAAGCAGCTCGGGAGAAGAAAATTAGTGGGGCGAGAGTTTGTCATTCTGCTCCTAGAGTGTCTCACCTATTTTTTGCCGATGATAGTATTATTTTTGCTAAAGCTACTCTGCAGGAATGTTCGAAAATAGCTGAAATTATCAGTTCATACGAAAGAGCATCTGGTCAGAAAGTTAATTTGAGTAAGACGGAGGTCGCCTTTAGCAAGTATGTCACTGGTGAAAGGAGGAAAGATATCATAGAAACCTTGGGGGTTCGTGAAGTTGAGAGACATGAGAAATACTTGGGTTTGCCGACTATGATTGGTAAATAAAAAAAAGCCATCTTTGCGTGTTTGAAGGAAAAAATATGGAAGAAATTGAACGGATGGAAGGAACGATTACTTTCTAAGCCAGGGAAGGAAGTTATAATCAAAGCCGTCACTCAAGCCATTCCAACATATATGATGAGTGTTTTTAAGATTCCGGATGGGTTACGTTGATCGATGAAATTCACACCTTATTGTGCCGATTTTGGTGGGGCTCAAGGGAAAATGAGAGGAAATTGCATTGGCAAAGTTGGGAGAAATTATGTATTCCAAAGGCAAAAGGTGGGATGGGGTTTCGGGACCTAAAATGCTTCAACCAAGCGCTTCTTGCTAAGAAAAACTGGCGGTTTCTCACAAACGATACTTCTTTGCTTCACAAAATTCTTAAAGCTCGCTATTTTAAGAATTCGAATGTAATGGAGGCGTTGAGGGGTTATGATCCAAGTTATACGTGGAGAAGTATGTGGGGTGCTAAGGGCTTATTACGTGATGGGTTAGCTTGGAGAGTTGGAGTGGGGAATAGCATTCGGGTATGGAAAGATCCTTGGGTTGTACATGATGGGAAACCTATGGTGGTGCCAGTGCCAGAGGGAGTTGATGAAAACATGCTAGTGCGTGAGATTATGTTCGATGGTGGAAGAGAGTGGGATGATGCCAAGGTTCGTTTATTGATGGGGGAAAGTACAGGGGCAAAAATACTTGCAATACCTTTGCCTTTCACTAGTCAAGCTGATGGTGTTTATTGGGGGCTAGCCAAGACGGGGTTATACTCAGTGTGCTCTGAATATTGGCTCGCAAAAGGTGGAGAAGGGAGTGAAATAGCTAATAGCCCGAATGATGAGGTTTGGAGGATGGTTTAGAACACTAGAGGTCCACCGAAACTCCTACACTTTTTATGGAGTGCCCGTGAAAGGGAACATGGCTGTGAAGAGTAGGCTCGTCCATCGGCACATAACTAATGATGCATCCTGCCAGATTTGTGGTTGCAATGACGAAACAATTTGGCATACCCTTGTGGAATGCAATGCGGCTGCGGCAATTTGGGAGCATAGTGACTTAAAATCGAACCTTAATGATGCCCCTAATCACTCTTTTTCTGCTCTATGGGCGTTGTTATACAGGAAGTGTAGTGGGGAGGCTCTGAGTACTATGGCTGCGTTAATGTGGGCAGCTTGGCGTTGTAGAAACCTCACCATTTTTAAGAATGAAAGGCCGAATGCTATGCTTCTTGCAGTGGGTTATTGTAGACTTGTGCATGACTACCAGTCCTATGCTAAAAATGTGTTTCACAGAGTAGAAAGTGTTTTTGCGCCTCAAAGTATTGTTAGATGGTGCTGCCCTACAATAGGTACGATTAAAATCAACATTGATGCTCATGTACCTAGTAGTGGGATGGCTGGTCTTGGGGTTGTATGCAGGGATGCTGAAGGCAGGATAGTTGCCGCTGCAAAGAGGAAGGCTGCCATTGTTGAGCCTGAGATTGTGGAAGCGCTTGTTGTGCGTTTTGCCCTCCAGCTTGCGTACAAATTGGGGTATAGTCGAATCATGGTGGAATCGGATGCGATTAATGTAATCAAGGTTGTGAGTTCGAAGGAGAAAGGTCGTTCACCCATTTATTCTATTTATGATGATATTCGTACTGATAGAGCTAAGTTTGTGTTATGTACTTTTTCACATATTAAGCGTTCATGTAATACCGTGGCTCATCTCATAGCACGATGGGAAACGGGTGAGAATGTGGAACTTGTACGGTTGTGTTCTTTCCCTCAAGGTATCTTGACCTTGGCGGAAATGGACTTGATTTAATTTATAAATAAAGCTCTATCCGTTCCTTTCAAAAAAAAAAAAACCTATTTGACACTTACATAATACTGCAATAGGTTGAGAGTAGTGAATAACAACACAATAAATGAGTCTAACAATTGTAAATCTGGATCTACTCCACACACAACATCAACTAAGCTATAAGAATAAGTGCGTTATGTATTCAAGAATACTTCACCAATAGTTATGTTATTGTGTACTGGTCAAATAAAAACGATGCAACTATCCAAAATATCGTCTAAACCACTCATTGCTTCTAATCTAAAAATAAAGTACGAAAAAGAAAAGAGCTCCTACTTAAATCGAGTTATGACAAAAGGCATAAAATGCACCTAGAAACAAAAAGAAAAGAAAAGAGAAGAAAAGTATGAGTATGATTTTTTTATAATTTTTTTTTTTTTATATATATTTAACTCATAGGGACTTAAAGTCTTTAACCCCTGAATATAACCATAGATAATGCAAGGTGATTGGTACTAGGCATGCTTTTCAAGTTCTTCCTAGACATAATGTGTTGAAAGAAAATATCAAAGTTAGAACCCCATTACCTTAAAGATCGAGTTAAAGATGACTTGTAACTATATGCAATTTTTTCTAAAAAAATTTAGCTTCAAAAATATTATTATTATTATTATGGTTCAAACAAGTCACTAGGCCGAGACCTCACTAGTCTAAAATAAAGTCATTGAAGATTGATATGGTGCGATCGATGCTAGTGCGAAAATAAGATGTTAAATGATGATGTGGCATGAGAAAGGGTACATGTGGCACACTGCGCATCAACATGAGAATAAGATGTTGAATGTCTGGTTGGGTCTGAATGTAATATGACGTGAGAACACGTAATTCATTAACATTTTTTAAAACGCTTTTTAATATATAAGTATAGATAAAATGTGGTTTAATTATACTCTTACCTAGTTGCCTTTCTTTTTAGGTGGTGTAGCCACAATGTCAATGTCAAACAAATTAAAGCGGGTCTTTTCAGATAAATTAAGAAGAAAAATACTATGCTTTGATCATCTAGAAATATAGCATCATTCGTATTAGGTGGGATTGAACTTGGAGGTCACAAGTTATATTATCTAGATTTTGATAGTGATTTCCATAGATAGATACCCCGTAGGGGCCGTAACATAATGAGCTTGCACATTAAAGATATTTTACTATACTAATATGAAGTTCTTTTTTTTTTGGTTTTTTTTTTTTTGGTGGTGAAGATAGATAAAGTTCTAATCTTGAGTTAATGTGAAATCACTTTACAATAGTAGTCATTCTCGTGTTGGCCATCTATGATAGGAAATAAACTTCCTTATTTGAAAATTGAAAACAAACATTAATCACTACTAATTTTATTTATTTATTTATTTTTGACAATTATGATATTTATATGCTTGTTAGTTCTTTCGTTTGGCTTTATTTTTCTTGAAAATGAAGATCAATAGAGATTATCTAAAGATACCAAGAAAATAAAGAAAGATTGATTATTTCTTCTTTTTTTGTTCTTTGTGGACAAAGTGGGTAAAGGGAGGAAAAAAAACCCTAGCAATAAATAAAGGGGGAAAAAGTGGTAGGAAAAGTTAAAAAATAGAGAAGGAAGATAATAATATGAGGGAATATAAAAAGGATTTGTATTTTTGTAAAAAAAAATAATAATAATAAAAAAAAAGGATTTGAGATTACACAGAAAGTCATTTACTTATTTGTGCTCAAAAAGTGCAAAATTTTATGTTTAATGGAAAAAAAGGGCAACTTATAGCATTTTTAACGAACGAATTAGTATTTACTCCGTACATTACTAAACACAAACTTGTATACATGTTACCAAACTAGCCATCATATATTTGTAAGTTACCACATGTTATAAAAGAACATCAATTAATATTATAAAGATAACAAAACAATCTTTAGGGAGAGAGAGAGAGAGGAAAAAAAAAAAAAAAACTCTATCAAGGTTATATCCCTAAAAAAAAGTTACCCCATTTTTATAAGACACTCGTCATATTCAAGTATTTCTAAAAAAATATATTGTACAATTTTCTTTTTACTCTCGCCTCACATTTGGCACAAAAATAATTAGGAAAAAGAAGTAAAGCCATAAAGGTAAAGGGGAGTCTTAATCGAAAATTAAATGGTGTAGGGGGGCATTACCTTTAATTTTATCATTCACTTTCAGACAGCCTAAAAGCATTATTTGATACGTTAAGTACATGAGAATGAAAGTGAAAGTTAAAAAAAAAATAAAAAAAAATAAAAAAAAAAAAAAAAAAAAAAAGAAGAAAAAAAAAAAAAGAAAAGTGACGTGAAACTCTTGAAATAAAAGTATGAAACCCAATCTAGAAAAATATATCGTTGTTACCCGCTTATTTTCACAATTATTCGGGCGTCACTAATTCCATAAGAAGGTACTACTACATACTAACATACCTAAGATTGATTAGGAATTTGTGATTGATAAAAGTGCAAAATCTCTCTTAGTGGAATTCAGAAATTCCTAGTGGGAAACTACATTTAGTGCATACAGTTATTTCACTTTTCTTGTCAAGGTTGCCAATATGGCTAAGCTTGATTTTTCCATTACTTTTAGTGGATCGTGTTATTATTCTCTCTTGAAAAAGCGTAAAGTTTATATTCTACACTTGAGAGGATGATGCGCATTATATATTTTGTTATATGTTCGTTTTAGCAAAATTTACAACTGCATGTATATCTTTTATGCATGTGTGGATTTCATAATTAAATACTCCATATTGAGATTTTAAGGATATGGAGATAATGTATGTGCTTTAATTTGAAATTATATGCATGATCATTATTCTGAACTGTATGTTCTGTTTTATTATATGCATCATACTCTTGCGTGTAGGATCTCCTGAAATCGGGAGAGAAACTTTAACCACTTGAGCCATCCCTCACTCTATATATCTTTATGAATATACAATAATTACTATGTAAAAAACTAAAAAAATATGCATTAATAATATTTGATTACTCTAATTTCCATTGGGTATTTGTTAAGGGATTTAACAAATTAGTATATATGTAAAGACCAATAAGAAATACAATTATTTCTTAGAAATTTTAAAGTGGCAAATACTCAATGTGTATTTTTGTTTTTCTGCTTTACAAAGATTATGAAGACAATTTTACAAACTATACATATTTTTGAAAAGAACTGTGTCTTTTGTCCATGTACGATATTTGGAAACTAATTTAATTAATTACGGAGTAGGTTGGAAAGACTAATGTACACTTCGTAATTTTCTCTCTTCTAACCAAAACCAACTCTAACTTAATTGGTTCATTAAATAAATCTCATGCCCATAAATTTGTTTAGTGTTTGTTTAAATTGTTAGACATAGACAATTAGTAATAAAAAAAAAATTAAAAATACTATACTATTCAATCCAAATTTTAAATTGTAAATTTAGAATTTTGAGAGATTATAATGCACATGCAATCTAATACCATAAATCTATAATGTGATAAATAATATATTTGAAAAATATAGCTTCTCGAACATGTAAGGTCTTGTTCGATATATCTTGATAATTTTAGTTTACAATTATGGTGAAAACAGAGCTTATGGTGAAAACTAAAAACAAGCAATCTTAGTCATTCATTACTAGCACAAAAGATCAGACGGTTCTAAAGCCCTAAGATCATTCCAACCTTACATATAATCAATTCAACCGTTTAAAAGGTCGCTACATGCTTAAAATAAGGTAACTTCATCTAAATTGACGATATTTACATAGAGTCACTATATATAAAAATAACGTAACTATATACAAAAATAGGTCACTATATACAAAAATAGGGTAACTATTTCAATTTTGACCATATTTACATAGAGGTCACTATATACAAAAATAGGATAACTATAACAATTTTTACAACATTTACATAAAGGTCACTATATACAAAAATAAAGTAACTATATTTTTGACACCATTTACATAAAGGTCACTATATACAAAAATAAAGATCACTATATATAAAAATAAGGTGACTGAAACAAAATTTAAAGCATTTCCATAATTCTAAGGTCATTATATTGAAAATAAGGTAACTATATATGAACTTCGGGTAATTATATCAATTTGACACCATTTACCCAGAGGTCAATAAATATAAAAATAAGTATTAAAAAAGTCCATGTAGGATTCGAACCTACATCCCGTGATTACACGGTGCTCGACCAATTGAGCTGATAGGCTTTCAACATGCCAAAACAGCCAATAAAAGCATACCAACATCACAGACCAACATCATACAGACTTCATACAGACTGAAGCAAAACAAGCTTGACAAGATCAACGTTTTAAGGACAGAAGCAGAGGCAAATGAAAGCATACCAGGAAATCATGATACGAGCAAGCTACCTGTATATGAGGAATCCCGACAAAATGTAGATATTGAACAGGCAGGCACCAAAAATCATACAATCAGAGATAAATCTTCACAAAGGCTGAAGAAGGTTACTACACTAACTCCAGCTGACAAGGTAAGATCAGGAATGATAGAGCTCGCAATAACGCAAACTAGCATACTCGAGTTCTAGAAATAAATTTCTAAAGACACACTTCTACCATTTAACTAACATGTCCTTTACCCTGCATGTTTCAGGATGATAATAAAGTATCAACAGTTATTGAAGATCAAAGGGAAAAATTGATACCTGGTGAAGTACAAATCATGCATCAGATAACAGAAAAAAGGTAAGCAATTACATGCCTAAAATTTTCAAGAGCAATTCTTAAAAAAAGACTCCAATTCCCCAATAAAAGAATATACCATCAGAGACTAGAGGATATATATCCTCTACGAGTTTCTGATCCAAACAAATCTATTCATTTCCTGTCCATATTCTTTTTTCCATTTGATTCTTACACATATATATTACCATGTTCAAACACCATTTAAACCACAATTGCAAGAACAACCATCAATGCTCTTGGTTAAAGAAAGAAACAAACAAG